TGCTCAAGTTTATTCAGATGTGAATTTGTGCCCCTAGGCATTTATAAATTACTTTCTTAATATCTAATGTTCAAAATTTCATTAAATTGCATTAGCATTTTAGATAATAAATATTATTTTCCTAATTTCTTAAGGGAAGTGAATTTAAAAAGAGTTTAATACTTATTGAAAATGGTCATACATAGCTGGATTTCATATCAATCTTTTTCGTTTTTTTATTCTACTTCTAAGGAATTGTGTTTTGAAGAAGGATGACCTTTTCTTCGTGAATTCTGAATGTTCCACCTTATTCCATATCAATCTTTTTCGTTTTTTTATTCTACTTTTGAGGAACTATATTTTGAAGAAGGATGACCTTTTCTTCGTGAATTCTGAATGTTCCACCTTATTATTATTTTAGCAAAATAACACATATTTGATTTTACTACTGGGTACCCATTCATGATCACTTCCATTGCTTTATTTAATGTTTATTTTATTTAAAAGATGTTAACTAAAATTTTTGTTGTTGTCTTTTAATTTCTACTCGAACCGTTCTAACTTTTAAATAGTTAGAAAAAATTAACATTAAATTTCGATTGTTCTGTGTTTTATTTTATCGATTATTTAATAATTCCGAATATTTTTTGTGTAATATAACATTTTACAATAGATTAAGATAGATCTATTTGCAATTAAAATTTCTTTTTAAACTTTGTATGTAAGTTCTAAATCTGCTAAATTGAAAAATCGTTAATAACAAATGAATGAATAAATGAAAGCAAATAACGAATCTGTTTCCGGTCTTCTATTATTTGGTTAGCAATTTTGGTGAACTGATTCAGTATAGTATAGTAATGCTCTCAAAATACATATTGGTGTTTGTCTGTTTGATGTAGATTTGTGATGTTTGCACACCATTTTGTTTTGACTATTCCAAAACGGAGTTAATAGAACGTGGCTTTGTTAATGCATTCAACTGCACTGCAAGCCAACAAGCACAAGTGCACAGCACTTGCACATTTCTTGAAACAAATAAGACCAGCAGTGATTCAGCCCACTTTTTGCTGTGGATACAACTTGGGACTGCACCCGCTGTGCAAGGTCATGAGTTCATGCAAATATTATTTATGCCTAAAACAGACAAATCACGACTGGCAACATGGCAGTAAATGCAAGCATTACAAGTTGCCATAGCCAAATATTAAAGCCATTTTAAGTCCAAATTAATGGTGGCGTCTACCGATGATGCTGATGATGCTGATGCTGTTGATGCTGCTAACGCTGTTCAGCTAAGTATTTGGCCCAATAATACTGGTTGTCATCTATTGTTTTGTTATGTCGAGCTTATGTAAAATTTCATTTGCATTTGGAGCAGAACTCCATGCTCCTTGTTGACAGTTATTTGCAGATGTTTCGTGTAACAATACCTGGGATGGCTGAATTTTCGAATATATGTAAATATGACAAGTGATTCAGACAGTGATTATGTTATTTCATGTAAATGTTGTTAAATTGTAATAATAAACAAAATTATATATCAGGCTCTTTGATAGAATTAATTGAATGCTATTTTGCAATATGGACATTGGCAATGCAGCTAAAAACATATCAACCTATTTTGCATATGACGATAGGATATAATAGAGCTTCATAGAAACTCGCTTTAGGCATTTAATTTACTTCAAGACAAAATTTCTACTAAAAATTCTATGTATGAAAGGACATGTGTTGTCTATTTATTAGATTGACATCATTAATATCAGCGTATTATGATGATAAAAAATAACTATTATTTTGATTAATTTCCTTTTAAGTAGTAAAAATCTATATCCACATAAATCAAAAGAATTATCAAGAAGTTATAGAGTAAAATTAAAGTATATTAGACATCACAAAAGTGATGTAAATGTGATAACGCTTGGATCTAATATATTATTTAATAATATGTCTTCATTTATTTGAAGAATATTTGAAAATTTGATAATAATATCAATATCTTAATATGTTAATATCAAATAAATAAAACTGAATTATATTTAAATAAATTTTATTTCAATTGTAAAATTTTACTGAATTGATCACATTCTACTGAAATCATTATTTTCTTCAAAATGTTTACAATGTCCTTTCATTATTGACGTAAACAACCTTGGAAAAGATTGTACTAAATGCAAGAGATTACTATTATTCTTAACTAAAAATGTGAAACTAAAAAAAAAATATTAAAAATTATTTGCCTTTATTATGTTCGGCTGCAGTAACTGGTCATGAAACCAAATCGCGACTAGGAGCATATGTGCTCTTAAATTTTAAGTGCCTGTCGACTTGAGTGCTAGCATTTGTGCCACTAACGGCACAAGAGCCATAAATGTATCCTTGACTGCATTTCCAAAGAGGCTCCCGCTATTATTGCTATTTTGTGTATACTTGGGTTCTAGGTAAGCTCCAAATAGAAGTGAACCATTTCTCGCAAAACAACACATCCCATCAGCACAACTGCTAAAGTAACCTGCAGCGAATGCGTGATATTTATTTTTTACTCAAACATCTCAGTGCAATTGTGTAAATTTTACAGTGTCGTAGTAATAGTTTATTTCTTATAATTCTAATATGTTAAGCTTTAAAGAATTAAGTAATAAAAAATATATGGTTATTATCTGTGTGGATAATAAATATACTGAGACAAAACATATGGAAATCGAGTCAAATACCCTGTAAAACGAAACTCCGCATCTTCGAATCAAATATGAAATCTGTGCTCTTCTATGGCTGTAAAACATGGAAAGGTTCCAACCGCATGGAGTCAAAAATACAGACATTCATAAACAAATGGTCTGAAAGAATATGAAATGAAAACCTGTAGAGTCGTACACAACAAGAAATCAAATTGCAAGAACAGCACTCAGATGGAATCCCTAAGTCTCTAGAAGACCTGGTGCACCAGCACAAACTTGGCGCAGATTGTAGACAGAAAACTCAATAATGCAAATTATAACTGGAATGATAAATTCCGCGAAGCATACGATAGAGTTAGGTTTAGATCTATGGTAGAGGCCTTATGCTCCACGAGAAGAAGAGAACAACAGTAAGTAAGAAAGTGATTGTGGCAATAAAATCTTGTTTTTTTGATATTTCAAACTAATTCGGTTAATTTGGGGCTTTTGAGCTAAAATCTGCAATCTGTTGTTATGCTTAACAACATCTGGAGGAAATAGGAAAAGTGTATCAAAGGCAGAAATATTTGTCTGTTTATCATAGCAAGTTTAATGTTGGCACGATATTTCATCTCTTCAAATAAAAGTTTTTTAATATTAAATACTAATAAATATTATATTAATATATAATATTAAATATTAATAAATTCAGGTTTAATATTTTAATTTAAAACCTTAATCCGTTAATGCCATAGACAGGGATGTATAAGAGAAGGAACGTTTTGTAAATTTGAGAACAGTAGATACAAATCTACATATTTAAAACATCAAAAAATTGATGATATACTTCAGTAATTAGATTGATTTCTAATATATATATAAATATTTACCATGAGGGGTTTTCATTTGAAAGATAAAAGCGATAAGTTAAAATTACTACCATAGACAGGGATGTATAGGAGAACGAATTGTTTGCAAATTTGAGAACACTAGACTCAAACCTACATATTTAAAACATCAAAAAATTGTTGATTAAGTTCAGTAATTAGATTGATTTCAGATATATCAATAACTATTTACCATCAGTAGTTTTCATTTGAAAGATAAAAGCGCTATGTTCAAATTACTGACTATAATCATTGGTACCACAAGGTATTCAAATATTGAAGTATTCATTGAAAGCTCATTATTTATTCAGTTTAGTATATATCGATTGAATAGAATTGAATAGGTTCACCCCGTATTTAACAGCTCTGTTCTTACAATTATACATAAGAAATGAACAACAAAAAAATGTGACCATATTCCTTTCTTAATTTACTCCAAAGGATTATTTGTATTCGTTAATATATATACAAATGAAGTGACAGTGGGATTGTCACTTGGAACAAATGATTTCAGTATTATATTATCAATATCATGGTTTGAATCCTGTCAATTAAAATTCAGATTTATGTTATGAACTACTATTTAATCATAATTATTTATCACTTCTAATACTACTTATAGTAATTGTTCATATGAGATTTCTTTCAAATCCAAATATAAATTATCATTAATGACTTAAAAATAAAATATTTAATTCTAAAAAAGGAAATGGATTAGTGTAATTCCATCAATATCAATCCTACTAGAATATAATACTGTAACATATGCAGTCGTTTAAAATAAGTCCACGAGATAATATAAAATTAAGATAAGAAATATTTTGCATTTATCAATCTTTTATTTTCTTCCTCGACTTAAGTACGTAACATAAGTTTTGAAATACTTGAGCTCAATTCTATCTACGCCACTGGCTGTTCAGCAAAACAATGCTTTTAAAATATGTGCCGTACAGAAGTCCTTAATCTCTGTTCGTATGTTGCCAGCTAATGAAGTTGAAACTGTAAACGGATTAGAAGGCACATACAGTTCGCAAATAATCTATGTCGGTGGCAGATATTGTTGTAAAGTTTGAGTTCCAAGTCATACGAAGAAGATGGGGTTGTTGTTGTTGCCACAGAAAAACAAACATTTTACTTAAATAAATGCACTTACAACTTAAGCAGCAGTTTAAAATGCAGATTTTTACCACCGACTTGAAGATATTTCTTTGTTTTAAGATGTAACACAAGTAAAGCGTCGTACACGCATCTAATATTTATGCTACATAATTTATATATTATGCAGTGTGAATTAAATCTAGACAAATTGCAAAGTGTAAACACACTTACGTAAGTAGATTTAAAAGGGAGTTAATTTTTTATGTGAGCTTTTCGCACTATTTAAAAAAGTGAAAATAATTTTTACAATATACATTTAATATTATATAAATCATTTTAAAATATTTAAAATTTTAGTTATCTAAAAAATATTGTTTACCTTGTTGCTCTATGCGATCATTACTTGGATCCGTCCAACTAACAAAAGAAACTGCGAACCAATTTCCCACTTGCGGTCCCTCCACGGTTATACGCTGCTGTTCTTCATTGGATTGAAATTGAAGATCGTAGATTTTAAATCTGTAAAGATAAATTTTTCATATTATATATTATTCTTATTCCTACATTTTATATTAAAATTGTTATTTGAATTATTTTTAAATAGAATTATATAAAGTATTTATTGAATGATGTAGATATAAATTCACAAAATTATTCTTATTAGTATAATTATTAAGTTATCTGATTTCAAAAATTTGCATATTTATAAATGATTGAAACGTAGGTAACGTTAAGTTAGATTAAGTTAGAGCGGCAGCCTTGTGCACCAAAGTTAATTTAAACATTGTTGTGATATTTCGGAAGGGACAATGTCTGTACAACAGACTTGAAGAATCTTAAAGATAGAAATCTAAAACATATAGCACATGAAAACTATCCATTTGAGAAGGCGCAACTCACCTATTGAAATAGGAAGAACCAATCAGATAAATCTATAAACCTTGCATTGTATCTGATTTATTAGATAACAGTTCTGTCATGTTAGATGAAAAATTGCAACCTAAACATTTTGAATACTTTACTAATTTTATTGGATAGCAGCTCAGGCATGTTAAGTAGAAAATGGCCTCCTAAAATCCTTTCCGAATTTTTTTTTATCACTGTTGATGGGTATTTGTCAATACTCGAAATAGCTATATCGTCAGCTAAAAATTCAATTAATTAATATAATATAAAAGAGTTTTTGTTATTATAGTCCACTATTTTTCGAGACCTCTTTACTATATTTTTTATGTAATAACAGCTTTGCCAGTTCAAGTATTCTAATTATTTTAAGTCTTTTTCTCATCAATGATAGGTACTGATATATGAGGTGAATTACAATTTCCTCCTCATAAGCAGAGCCTATACCAAGAAAAATGATTGGAGTGTACACTTAGTTTTATTGCACACTTGCACTATACGGACTGATCTATCAGCACCGATATTGTAGTAATGTAGTATATTGGATCCGCGTTAGTGGAAGCAGCTGTCTGGTGTAGTTTTGTCTTACAATCTGATAAAATTATGCAAAAAAGGAAAACCCATATATGAGTAGTTAGATTCGAAGAGTAGAGTGCCTGCTTTAGCAAGTTTGTCGGTTATGAAGTTGCATGAGATATTTATGTATATTTTTGGGTGATAAAAGTAGGCAACTCGTTGGTAGCAGCCAGGCATTCTCGAACTACAAGATTATTAATTTAAATCATTATTAGCATAATTTGATATAGTTGTTTTCAAATTTTTATAAGCTGGAAGCTGTAAGCTGCATAATTTTCTAAAGTGATTCGATACTTTAAATTATAGCTTTAGATGAAAAAGCGAATGGCAACTACCCTTCGTTTTAATGGTTCTAGGCAGACTTTACAGAAGTATGATGACTTTCCTGTTGTCTTTTTGAGAAAGTATCGTTATCGTTATTTGTATTATCTGTTAATAATGGAACGTCTATACTTACAAAGCTGCGCAGATAAAAAAGATTATGTTCTATGAAATTTTGTGTCGCTGAATATTTTTATATGGTTACAAACATAAAAAATTTTTATTTTTGCTGCCTGAATAGGACTGAGTGAAAAAGTATCTTTTACAAGAAGACCCTGCATAAGAAGGCTATGACCAGAACACGGTCCCATGCGGATAATATTATTTGATAATATCATTGATATAATTTCATTTGATATCTTTTGGTGAAATTACATTATTTTATCTTTATGATGTCCTAAAAAAATGGAATTCAAATAAATAAATCAATAAAACTAAATTTATCATTGTCACATATTTGTATTTTTCTCCAAAAAGCCATTGACGTATGTACTTGTTTCTGCGGCCCTCCAATCTGCACAGTGACTTGCAATGGCCCGCCATCGTATCTGGTATGAAGACCTCTGCTGTATAATGTATTCATATTAGGTGTAAGTTAAATGAAATACTATAGCACAAATATCTCTGCTATTCATTTATGTAAACTTTCTTTAGTGTTTAATTTTTATATTTTATACGTAGTAGTTTATCTTTACGAAAAATATAGTATTTTAAAATTTTAATTTTCTAAGAAATTTTTTTTTACTTTGTTTAACAACTAAAGATTAAGGATATATTACAATCATTATGATTGTGGATAAATGAAATTACATCATCTCTGCCATTTTGAAAATGAAAATGAACTTTGACTTGTTATCTTATCGGTAGTCTTATAAAGCCGTCAGTGTAATGCACGAATTTATTAAAACTTCCTTCCGTCTTAGGTATTATGTCTTGCGCCGTATTCCGTGTGTCGTATGCCGTATGCCATATGCGAACTGAGAACTGTTAACTGTGAATCGCAGGCTGAAGTTGCGATATGCAAACACAGAACATATTTTATGCAGTGGTATTTACAATGGAAGTGTTTCTTACTTCACACTTTTGCCTACTGTTTCAGCTCTCACTTCCCGCAAACCCCCTATTGTCTACCCGATATAAGTGCGCTGTTTAACATCAGTTAAAAAACGTTCAAGCGAATTGATTTTAAAAGTTTCTCATGTGCTACTTTCAGAAGTTTAGCAACTTTTACTGTTTCAGTATTTCGGTATCTTAAGGATTTTTCTTCATTTTTACTGGGGAGCTTTAGGCACTTAAAAATCATAAAAATAACCAAAAGAACGGGAAAAGTCTAAACTCGATTTATAGTATGAGTGCGTGTGTGGAGGCGAGAGAGAGAGCATGAGATAGTGATAAGAGATTTAAGAAATGAATAATAACAGCACGATGAAGCGTCACAACGGAAACGGAAGCCTTAAGGAAGTTAGTAAATTGCAGTCAATGTGAAAACATTTGTTGCGAATCGCTCTATTATATGATGTGATTCGAAATGTGCTTTCATGATTTCGTGAATCCACGATTTCCAGACATACACTTGGAGGTGGTGTTGATGATGCACAAAGGTGAGGTCACAGCATAAGACTGCAGTGAAGTAAGGGTTTATAGTAAAAAATGAGAATTTAAACTACTTTTCCGTGAAGTTTATTCATATGAAAAGCGTGAAAAATGTGAACAATAAACTATTTTCTTTTATTATTTTTCATTGCCTCAGATAAAGTTAAGTGTTTTGTTGAAAATATTTGCCACTTGGCAAATTTATGCATTACATAAAATAGTTGGGAAAATGCATTTGCCATTAAAGTTCAGTGATGTGAATTAATTGAAAATAGTAAAAACATTCCTTTCTGTCAGTTGTGTTTAAAGGACAGTAAGTCAATACGCTACAGAAATGGTTTAAATCATATCAAGCCGATTTAGCGATTTGCATAGTTTTACCACAATGTGCATGAACCTGTGCAATGAGGCCAAAAATCGCAGTCGATAATAAAGAACAGATTTAGATGTTGCATGTGCTGCTGCACATAATTCGGGCAGCTCAACATGCAACGTCAGGGAACAACTATGGAGCCATGGGCTTTGTATGCTCTGTGTGCTGTAGTGCGTTGCTTTGAAGCGTTCAAAGCTGTTGCATCAGTAATTATGTTTGTGTATTTGACATTGAGCGTCAGTTGCACTTTATATTGGATTTCTAAAGCTTCACATTAATTAGCAACCAAATTGTCAATTGGAATGGTTCAGTTAAAGTTTTGAATATGAAGTGCTTGCCTGACGGTTTTGTGATTTATACCGAACGGTTTTGTTTGAAAAAGGACTGCAATGCAACGGATTGTCTGACTTCATTCGATGTGCAGTCTATTTAATGCATTATTGCGATGTATAATGCAACAATATTTTGTAGACAATCAAATATTTAGTAACGATTATTAACCAATGGGTTGTATTACTAAATATTTACAGAGATATGATAATTTCAACACAATTTGAAGAAATATTCATAAAGTTGTAAAAATAGTTTTTTAATTTAATCAAAGTTAATTTAATTTACAAATTTTAAATTATGAATGGAAAAACAATTTTTAAAAAAATTCTGTTAGCTATCTGGCAGTAATACTGGACAGTACATTGGGAAATGTTGGAAACAGAGGTGGTGGAGCTATGATCGACTATGTTCTAATCTCAAATGGATTGTTTATCCTAAATCAAAACTAAACAAAGCTAAATCTAATAACAGTCAGGACAAATAATATATCAACCTTTTTGCTTAATAGCTAAGATATAGAAGTTGTTCAGCATTTTGAATATGGTAAGCAGCGATGGTGCAACTATGATCGACTATGTTCTAATCTCAAATGGATTGTTTATCCTAAATCAAAACTAAACAAAGCTAAATCTAATAACAGTCAGGACAAATAATATATCAACCTTTTCGCTAAATAGTCAAGATATCGAAGTTGTTCAGCAATTTGATTGTTTGGGAAATGTTGTAAACAGCGATGGTGCAACTATGATCGACTATGTTCTAATCTCAAATGATTTGTTTATCCTAAATCAAAACTAAACAAAGCTAAATTTAATAAGAGTCAGGGCAAATAATATATCAGCCTTACTGCTAAATTGCCAAGCTATCAAAGATGTTCAGCATTTTGAATATTTGGGAAGTGTGGTAAGTAACTATGGTGGAATTATGATCGATGTAGACAATCGTTTAAAGAAAGCAAAATTTATCTTTGCGATGTTAAGTAAGGTTTGGAAAGCTAATAACGTGCATATCGAGACTAAGGTTAGAATCTTTAATGTATGTGTAAAATTTACTTTGTTATATGACTGATAGACGTGGTCGCTAATTAGATCGTTAAAAACAGAAAACTTTTAGCCAGTTACGTTTTCTTGCTAGGAATAAGAACGAATGGAAAGAATTTGTACGAACTATTTGCCAATAGAGTAAGTTCATGGATGGCTGAAAGTGCAGATAAATACATATTATCTTAAGTCAAGTTATCAAACTTGTTGGATAATTTCTTTGTTGAATTTTTCTCAATTCTGTTTCATGATCTACTTTAAGTCAATTAAATTTCTTAAAGTAAATTAACAATAGTCTAAAGAAGAACATGCAAGTCAAGTATGAGTTTAGATCACTTTTTCAATTATCACCGACTCTAATCTTCAAATTTGGCAGAGTTCAACTTTTGGTTGAACTTGCAGTCTAAAAATTTATTAACTAAATTTTTTATTATTAGTGAAAATGGGTCAACCAAAAATTTAATTACTCAAAACATAATAGAAATTTTGTTGTTGTAATTAAATAGTATTCAAAAATCTCTCTAGTAAACAAAAAAAAATCTTTTAAAAAACTTCAAACTGCTTATAAAATCTTTAATACAATATGATTAACTTAATTTTTTGAATCAGTTAAAATTAATATCCAATGATGCTTAAAATAAATTTTTATAAATTCTATCACAATATTTTTATTCATATTGATGTACTAAATTATCTTTCTTCATTTCTGTCCATAAATAGTTTTGGTAACTAATATAACTGTTTCTGGTCTGTCTGTTTCAATCTGATAATAAATTAAATGAAATGCTCATATGTTTTAAGTCCATTTAACTGCCTTTCATCAGTCAAAGACAATTTGTTTTCTTCCATAAGCGAGAACAATAAATTCACTGGTAAAGTGTAGACGTGCGTTACTTAACCTGGTTCCACTGAAGCGTATTGAACCTAAAAAACTTCTACGCGCCCATTTGTGCTCCATCATTAATTAATGACACAATTCACTTCGAGCCAAGAAGGAAGTCAGAAAGACCAGTAAACAGTAGACAGTAAACAGATATAATTTTTTTCTTTAATTTTTATCTTTGTAATTTTTTATCTTTCGGTGGCAATTTTCGCACACAATTTGCCATCATGACAAGGCGCCTTGGTATGCTTTCCTGTTTTTCGTTTAATATAAGTTAATGAAATAATGATATTATGACGTAAAACATATAACATATATTTAAATTTTATAATATTTTGTGCTTAAAGTTCTGTCCATAGATTATTTCTTGAAGAAGTACTGTCTTTAGTATACCGTCCAAAAAACACAATTAGTTTGTTATTAAATAAAATATTTAAATTAATTATTGATAAATTATTATATATTTATTAAAAAATTATTTATAAGGAAAGCGATTGAATGAGAAAGTTAATATACAGCTACTGTTTCACGTGTGCCATAACTTCATGCTTAAATACAAATTCTCAATATACAAATACAAATATACAATAAACATACAAATTATGTCAATACATTGCATCTATGGTATATTAAAAATAAATATATATTTAAAATTCTGTCTCTAATATACTATATTCAATTGTTTTCAAAGAACAACAATTCATATACGATGATGAAATACTGGCTTCATTTGATACGGTTTCATTATTTAAGAGCATCCAAGTAGACTCTGGAAATTTTGACAATAAGTTGGCCTTTATAAAAAGCGAATGTAATTTAAAGAAAGAAATATTTATGCACATCCTAAGCATTTTCCAAAAAGAAGATAATTATTTTATATTTGAAAATAAAATTCACAGTCAAACGAAAGATATGGCTATGGGATCTCCCACCTCACCCGTGGTCAAGATATTGTTGTGGAGAATACCATAGACAACAATATTCTATGATATTCTATGAACGAAGTAGCTATAAAGCCTAGATTATTGACTATGTTAAATATCTTGACAATACATTTGCTGTAATAAATATTGACAACATAGAGATTATACTTCAAATAATCCAAATAAATATAAAAATTTTACAAAAAAAGTAGAAGAATTTGAAAAACCACCTTATCTTGGCGCAATATTAATTAGACATAACAATAAACTCAAAATAAATTGTTTTCAAAACCTACAACCACTAGACGTTATACTAGATTCGTTGTGTATTCAGCATCAGCAATCTAATTATTTTATTCTTACCGATATTCTGTTCAAGAACACTAACCCTAAACTGATTATATTCACATAGACTATAAATCACACAGGCTAAAAACTATATTCACTTCTTGTAATTCTCTGAATAGAGTGCATAGAACAAAATCTGATATCTTCAAAAATCTTCAGCTATAAATATATTTACTAAAGACATACATCATTGGATTCTGTATGTGTTTGGTAAATAATTGCAAGACAAAGCTTTCTGTACTTTGTAACATTGGTCAAAACAGTGTTGGTAAGTCATAAATATTAGAATTTTTCCTGTTGGGATTCCAAATTGGGACTATTAGGATTAACATTTAAGTGGATATGTAAGCAACAAATTCTTGAGAAGATTTAATTTAATTTGATTATTATAAATTATAAATTATAAAATATTGAAATGTTCAACACATATTAATATTTCGTGTTTTTTAAAGTTTCAATATAAATAATTTTGTTTAATGAATAGTAACAACCTTAGTACACTATTTTATTTTCAATCCTTATAAATTAGTTTACCAAATGAAGGATTGCATTGAGTAGAATTGTTATTGTGGAACAAGGAAAAGCAATCAACCCTTAATTTGGCTAATATTGGCTACATTTTCATTTCACTTCATACCTCATAAAAAGTAAGTACATTGTTATTTAGAATAAAATATATACGAATCGACAATAGCACTGTTGTTGCCACTAGTGCAGGTATCTAATGCCAACACCGAGTCAGGCTTAAGTGCAGACATATTCATTTATCATCAATTATTTTGCAACACAAGTGCGATACTCTCACAACAAATTGCACATTAAAACAAAGCGAAATTCGGTGAAAAGAACGGAAGGAAGAAAAAACGTGCCAATGAAATTACTGTTAGAATATCATTTTCGTACTTATGACTGTTGCTTGAAGCTCTAGAGGATAGTGGGTGGAGAAAATGTAGTTGAAAAACATCTGCCATTTAAGATTTGTTTTTATATGCACATTTTACTAAAATTTCATGAATTTTACTGCAGTTTACTTTCATTTTTATATAGGGGCACGAAAATTAAATAAAATACTTTAACATTGTCTTTCGGATTTGAATATTTCAAAAAAAACAAAAAAAAACACAAATTTCTGAAAAAAGCCTTTAAACTGAAAATCTTGATTTTTAAAAAATCACCCATTCAAATTGTATATGTCACATATATGGCAAACTTATACAATACAAACTATTAAATATTATTTATAATTTATTTTTCATGATGTATCTGTTATTTAAGCATATTCATATCATAAATTGCTTTCAGAAACCTCTTCTTAAAATGTTTTGCCTGTTTCTTACACAAATATCTATTTCAGCATATGAATAAATAATATTTTTCTTAAATTATAAATAATTTATTAAAATAATTAATACTAACTCTACTTATATTTGAATCTATTGTTAGTAATTTCTTTATATTTCTCTAAATAGGTGTAGTTCTTAATGCCTTTTTAACAAAATCGAGCAAATACATTTTATTTTGTTACTCATACGCACGGATGTTCCTCGATTTGCATAATGTACTTTAAATAAGAGGCCAAGAGATTAAAGATAAATTAATAAGCAAAATTGTTGAATTCAGTTAGATTCGTAGATATATTTCAAGAGATCCAATTGCTTAGGGTATGAGGATCTAACACTAAGAATAAGATTTATTGCTCACTATATTTTTCCTATTGTACAGTGCTGCGCAAAAGTTTAAGACCACGTTAATAATTGTCAGTACAATTATGTCAAAGTGCAATAACTATAAGTACTTATGTGCTTTCGCTGAGTATATTTTTTTTTAAATGAGGTTTACATTTTTAAAATAATATAATTAAAATTGTTTTTGAATACATTTTTTTCATAACGAAATATATTTGCACTATAGAGTGTTTGCGTATAATTGTAAAAACATTTCATTCTCTAAAAAGAGAACATTTGGCTTCAACACATCTTTAAATTTTACCAATCAATGAAAAACCAATCAGTTTTTTAATTGCCCTAATATTGTTAATATATTTTTTTGGTTGTCGGGTAGTCGTAAAAACCAAAGCAGTTTTGCATTAAACGTAAGTTTTTTTTTACGTCAAATTTCGAAGCATAATTTTAATTTATCAGATTAAGCAATAAAATGTAAATTTATTAGCTATATTAAATTTGTAGTGAAAATTGGCAAATTACAAAATTTATTTTTGCACAAATATATACAAATAATTAAATTTTTATGCTTACCTTTGGTCGCCGTTTAGAAAATTTCTAGGAAACGTTATATTTTCAGGACTTATCACAGGATAGCTGCTGGCTTTAAGGTGCAGAGTAACGTCACGAGACCTGCATTTTCTTACTGCAATATTTGTGTACAAAATTTAAATTTAAATAATTGTGTTTTATTTCCATAAATATTAGATTAAAGCAAATCAACTTACGAAAGGCACTTTTGGATTCCTCAAATGCTTTGAAGGTGAAAAATGCGGTTCTTGTATCTGGCGGTATACGAAAATGTAGTATGGACACATCTTTGTAGGATGTGTATTTGAGCAACGTATTTGAAGGCAGTCGCACAATAAGTGTTTGATCCTTTGGTATCTTAAGCTGATCCATCTTTTCCTGTGGCAGTTCTGTGGCGAGGTAATCATTTTGTGTTGACTGATGATGAACCTGTACGCTGGCACTACAACGCATCTCCTGGTGATTCACAATCAATGGCAGTAGAATTATAGTAATGATTAGCAAATCTCGACTTTGCTGATACATTTTTATAAATTTTATGGTTATGAAACTTTATGTTGTTAGGATGGAATTATTAGGTTTATCTTGTTTTATCTTTCAATAAAAATATGCCAACTACGGTCCAAATTAACATTTGTATTGTAGATTTTGCATGAGCTGAAAAAAAAAATATAAACCGGTTAGTTTTCTGTCATAAAGATAATTTGTCATTTTTGAATAAACTAGTCATTTCTTGTTTTTAAAAAAATCGTTTTATTTTTTTTTTGATTTTTATTTACTTTAACTTCACGATGTGAAGTTATTTGCTTCAGTGTGCTAATTTTATTAGTTGGAGTATTCTGTTAAATATTCTATTTTTAATATTTAAAATAAAATTTAAACATTTATAATTCTAATTTCACCTGAAGCGTCGAGCTTAGCTACCTATAGCAATTTGATTTTGTTTGTTTTGTAATTCAATGCAATTATTTTTATGTATCCTGCATTTAACTAAAGTTCATTAATCAAATACAAATGAACATTAATTGCATTCGTGTATTTTTGTAAAGTGAAATTACTCATACGTACGAGTGTTTAGTATCATTTTTCACCTCAACATATAGCGCACACCACACTCAGAGCACCAACAACAACAACAGCAGCAATAACAACAAGAACAATTACACTTTGCCGTATTTAGCATTCCCGGCCATTGTGGCAATGTTTGTTGAGTTGAACTCCTAATTGTGGCAGCATTTGATTTTTTCATTTTGTTGTTGTTATTGTTGTTGTTGTTTTTATGTCGTTATTGTGTCTGTTGATATTATTTAAAATAATTGGTTTTGATAGTGTTAAAATCTACCACTTGTGCTTAATTAAATCTGCACAGTATGACTGTGTGCGAGCGTGTACGTGTACTTTACGAGATTGGTTGCTTATTTGGTCGATACAATTTTAATTAGATGTGAATGTGTGTGCGTGCGGATGTCACATAGTCGATATGCGAAATGAAGTCATGGTAGAATTGTTGTTGCGTATAGGCTGCGTTCGTTATTCGTGGGTTGAATTAAATGAAAATTGTATTTAATTTGAAATTTTGTTAACTTTGAATCATTTCGTTTGTTTGTGATTTGTTATTTGATTTGAATTTAAATTAAAAAAAAATTTTACAAATAACATTAGCTGTAAGCAATTTATACAAAATTTATTATATAAATATTTAAATAATTTTTTGAATCGTATTAGATTTAGATACGAATATATAAGCACATGAATTTTGAACAATTTGATATTATTATTTTTAGTAAAAATTAATAATATTGTTCTTGATTTGAAAAAAAATTTGATTAATTCAAATATTGTCTATTTTCTTCGATAATTTGTTTTTTTTTTCTTTACCGGGGTCTCATTGTTAAGAAACTAGCTTGGCTGGTTTTCACAAGTCTCTAGTGAGTTTGGTTTGGTTTACGACAGCGAGAGAGTGTTTCAGAGATAATTAATAATCTGATGTTAAAACGCCTGAACTATATATAAAAGATATTAAAACCGAAACACGAAAAATATCTTTTTTAACTTCTTTTTAAATTGAATTATGTTATGTATCCTTAATACTATATTATAACTTATAGAGATAGCTGAGATAAAATTCTTCTTGTCATAGCAAAGCTATTAATGTTTTTTTTTTTGTATCATTTAAAATTTAAAAATTTTGAATTAAAAAAAAAGGACTATTACTACTACTTTAACAACTTTCCTTTTATTTAGATATTAAATATCTTTCCACACAAGTACACTAGATGCTATTAACTATTTCCAAATTATTCTGAAAACCGCTGGGAAATGATAATTTCAATTTATTACAAAGGCATTATTTGAATATAAAGAATACGATCTATGAGCAGGGCGATGCTTTTGATAACTGTTGTAATACCAAATACCCATGTGCACTTTACAACATCACTCGCACAACAATTACTCGTTACTATGAATATGACAGCAGAGTAATATACATGCAGTCAGGGTAAAGTAGAACCTAGCAACAGTAAGAAGCCGCAAAATATATAGTAACAATATATATAATAAATTCCAACAATAACTAATACAAATGTTCTATGAAAGTCATTTATCTGATGTAAAATTGTTTGAAATATTATAAAGAAGTTTGAAACCTCAAAATCCCCCTCACTATCCGCATGATAATTTTTTCCCTTCATAAAAGGGAAAACACAGGTGTTAAAACCTAAGTACATTTCTGTAGTCAAATGAATTACGAATTACATTTTAATGCAGTGATGATCGGAAAATGAAAATATTTTTATGCGATGAACCCTTTTTTTTGCTCTTTCATATTCCATTAAACATATGTTATATATATATGGAGTGGATTGTGCTTACACTGTCTGTAAGGAACAATAATTCAAAAAAAACATGTTGCATGTTGCAAATCTTAAAATAAAAATCTTCTAATGGCTACATTAGATCCAAAGAACAAAATTTCGAAAAAGAAAGTTGTATTTATTGACTTATATCTTTTTATTATAATTAATGATTTATATAATGAAATGAAATGAAATTTCTTTCAATTTTGGAATTTAATGAATAAAATTTCGAAATAATTACAACTCAGGGAAACTACTGACTGTCAGGAATATTTTCGATAAAATGGGTACACAATTACACAATTCTGGTGTAGAATGATTACTATATGATTACATTATACATGAAAAATAATATTTCGTTTGTTCACTGAAGATTTAAGTCATAAAAACATTCGCAGAAGGGTATTGAACTGATCACCTTTACACAACATAATAGGGTTGTCTGTAGTGTCTATATAGGAACCACAACGGAAAAGGAAAAAATTCCGTTTTGAAACCCTGTTAAAAATCAAGCAATTATATAAAACGAAAAGTGAGAATATAATTACAATCCAATTTTAATTTAGAATATGCATAAAAATTTCTGTTAAATAAGTTATTCTCAGTTTATATAAATATGATTCATAAGTATCAATTATAAACAAATTAACAGGCTAGTTTGAATGGTATGAAATACGAAAATGTAATATTATGAAAAATGCGTATAATTAAAAAAAAAATATTTGAATTAAATATCAATAATTTTTTACATAAAAACTTGTTGCTAAATTTAATATAAAAGCATTACACTTACATTTTTTAAACATATGTACATATAAGTGGTTCCAATTACTTATAAATGACTTTTTAAAAATTTAATTTTAATAAATTTAAAAATTTAATTTATGGAATTGTAAAGCCCTTTTAATAACTGAGTTCATTTATTATTTATTTAAATTTAAATATATTGCAATCATTAAATTTGCAGAGCTTTGAAAATATTTGCAAGGCCTTTAACTTGCCTGAAATATGAAATTATTTTATTTAATTGGATTTGTGTATGGACATTAATAATTTATTTTAATTAATGTAATTCAAGTTTGAAAATTTTAAACGTTACCAACTTTAAATTCAATCAATTATAAACACCAATTAATGTATAGTATTTCATGATTGAAGTCCTCAAAAGTAAATTTCTGTACAAAATTAAAACCAAACTTTTTTAATGAAAATTTGTAAAATGTTGAAAAATTTTTTATATGCTTTAACCACTTAATAAACTATGTACTAATACTATATTAATTTTCAGCAAGGAAAATATTATAAAGCCTTTTTAAAAAGTAAGTTGCTCTGTTTTCGTATGGATTTCGAGGAATTAAAGCACGTTTTTAATTTCACTAAAGAAATACTTGGTACTTGAAGTCTCAAAAAAATTATTTACGAATAATTAAATACAAGAATTATTTCCAAGACCACTGATGATGGGTGTTTGGCAATACTCGAAGCAGCTGTATGGTCAGTCAAAAAATCAATTAATTAAAATAATCTAAAAGAATTTTTATTATTGTAGTTCACTACTTTTCGAAAAACCTCTAAAGAATTAAATAAAAAGGTTTAAATAATTACAAAGAAATAATGTTCTTGTGAAATGTGAATATATATGCTATTCACACTTGACCCTAGAATGATTATTTCAAATAATTTCAGAAAATGAAATATTTTTATTTTATTAAATAGCAATGAAACATTAATTAAGAATATACAGCTGTATAGTTATATAGTCTTTCGATTCATTTTAAAGGGGTTTATTTTTTCGAGATCTGGCTACGTATCTACCAACGTATTGATAATTGTTTGCAATCGATAAAATTGAGTTTGAATTCGTGCAATTATCTGAATCTCCGATGTACTTCATTTCTTTTCTGTATAATATGGTCTTTCCAGTTGAGTTTTTCGGCTATTGTGCTCCTATATATGGTTTTTAAGTGAGTATAAATTTATTTATTAATTATTTATTAATTCTTATTGATCTTTCTGCATCCATTTGGTTTTTTGTGCCTTATTTTGTGAACCAAAGTACTATTTGGGTATGTCACTTATTATAGTTTGTAGGTTATTTCAAGACGTACCAATATAGTGTGTGTAGATAATTTAGAGAGGAGGCTAACATGTCATGGCCTTGAAGTGGAGTTAATATAACTGCTATGTAAAGTAGATATAGAATGGACTCGAGTATACAAACTACAATATGATATTTTCATTGCTGAGGTATCTCTTATGAATTTCATTTGCATTTTAAATAAATGTAAAATTAAACTTTAAAAATAAAGTGAGAAATGAAAATAAATTTTTATTAAATTAACCAATTTTACTACATTTTTATTTTCAATATATTTTTTGATGATGATATATAAATTGTTAAACATATTCTGCTTTTCACTTGTAATTATAAGTGAAATTTATTTAAAGCAATTATAACAGTTGCAAATTACTTTTATTTTAATATATATTTTAATAATTTATACATAAAAACTTATTTTTCATCAAAATGATATAATTAATAATTGAAATATGAACTCATTTACTCCAAACAAAAAGTCATAACAAAAACATAACTTTCTACTTTTACTTAACCTCCCAAAATCAATGTACTATATTTAATGAACCTAATTGATATGAAAATTAAAGCTATTAACTTTTATGAAAGAAGTAAAATATTTGCTCTAATTTTATATGTGAAAAATATTCATAACAAATGTATTTATGTGCTCAGGGATATACATATTCCTACACATAGATGTTTTCATACAATATTTGTATGCAAAGGAAAACGACGATGAATAAGCTTTCCATTTGTATTTGAAATTCCATTACGTTGATTAA